CCAAAGGTCCGGCTCCTCCGCACGGACTTTCACTGGCTTGGCAGCCACTGCTGCCTTCCTGGGCGGTGTGATCTCAAGCCGCCCTTTAAATTCTGCATTGTTCTCGGAGTAAAACAGGCGGCCCCAAGTTTGCACATCGCTGTTGAAGCTGCGATCGCTGCCGGGCTCCATCAGTGTCAGGGTTTTGTCCACAGAATCACCAGGCTCTGTCTAGCATAGTCGTTGTGCTGATTCAAAGCCGAAATCAATATTCTCAAAGGTGGCTCCAGATTCCTTTGCCACTGGGGACTGCAGAGACTGACCCCGACATGGTGACCCTGCACTGGGGTTGTGGCATTGGCGTAAACTGGTGTCCCTCCTTGCCTTCCAAATTTTTAAAAGGAAGGAGAAGCGGAGGTCAAAACTCTTGAAGGTGATCAGTGTCATACCACTCCAGAACTCTGGGCCTTGCAGTATGGTCACAGGATCAGCTGCGAAAGCATTCATCCAGCAGGTACTCTGAAAACTCATCGATATGTTGACGGTCCTCCAAGAATGTCTTGATCTCTGGCACCTGTTGCAGCATCCATGTCAGCATGTATTCGCGGCCTTGGGGGCCCATCCCCTGAGGCCAACCACTGGTGATTAGCTGTAGCGCACAATGCTGCTTTGCCTGCCTATTGTCAGACGCCATCCAAGCTACCTCCTGGCACGTAGCGAAAAAGTCATCACTGAGCTTTCCCAATGCTGTTTCCAACTGCAACACCATGTGATACATTTCGGGGCGCATCACTCTAGCGTGGTAGTTTCTAACCGGGGTCATCACGTCCTTGTTTGCCTGACCTGGCTGCTGCAACGCTGTAGTCGCGATGCAGTGTGGTCTTCCAACGACCACGGTTGCACCAAACTTGGTCCGGCGACATCCGGTTGGGCCTGTGCCTCTTCCTGCGGCATTTGCGCTGCCCTCGCCACTGGCGTTGGTGGTCCGCGCTTGTTCTGCGCTTTATCCTTCCAGTAAATCTCCTGCATCGCACGCACTGCCGGGGCCTGTGTCGTAACCCTCTGCGTTTGGAACGTCGCCACTGCCGGGTTGACCCAGCCTTGCTGTTGGTTATCGGCCATCTTGCTTGGGACGCGGCGTGGTCGATGGCAGCGATGAATGCAAGACTCTAATTGGCCTTGCACATGCAACCTGAAAGCCGATACGCTTAGGGTCGTCGATTACGAACAGATTTCTGAGAATGCTCCACGCACCAGCGCCACCCCGCCGAAAACCACAAGAAGTTCGTCGATTACGAAAAGAATTCTCAGGACACTCCACGCGCCAGCGGCGCCACCCGCCGAAAACCACGAGAGGTCGTCGATTACGAAAAGAATTCTGAGGAGGCTACACGCGCCAGCGCCGCCACCCGCCGTTGTCGAATACGAAAAGGATTGCGTGGACGCTCCACACGCCAGCCCTACCACCCGCCCAAAAGCACGAGAGGCTCGTCACTTTCGAACGGAATTCTGAGGACGCTCCACGCGGCAGCGTTCGCGAGGCGGCCGTCAACCGTGAGAAACAGAACGCTCCACGCGCCAGCGCTGCCGCGCGCGAAAAACAACGAGAGGGTCGTCGATTCCAAACCGACTTCGCAAGATGCTCCACGCGCCAGCGCGGGCGCCGTCAAAACATCGAGAAGATTCGCAATCCGCATTAAGAATTCGCACGGCGCCACAGCGAGAGCGTTTCAACATGCACGAAAGCCGTAGAGGGTTCGCCAACGAGTTTTGCGATTCGCACGGCGCCGCAACGAGAGCGTTCAACACGCACGAAACCCGCAGAGGGTTCGCCGGCGAGTTTTGCGATTCGCACGGCGCCACAACGAGAGCGTTATAACACGCACGAAACTGCCAGAGTGTTGGCAAACGAGCTTTGGAATTCGCACGGCGCCACAATTAGAGCGCTCCGACACGCACGAAACCCGCAAAGGGTGGCTGGGCAACGTTGAAAATTCGCACGACGCCACAGCGAGAGCGTTTCGACACGCACGAAACCCGCAGAGGGTTCGCCGACGACGTTGAAAATTCGCACGGCGCCACAACGAGAGCGATTCGACACGCACGAAACCCGCAGAGGGTTGGCAAGCGAGCTTTAAAATTTGCACGGCGTCACAACAAGAGCGATTCGACGCGCACGAAACCCGCAGAGGGTTCGCCGCCTAGATTCGCCAAACCTACCCCGGCTTAAGGCGTAGTAGGTGATGTCTGCAAGCGGTATAAGTGCTGAGTGATTGGCGCAGGTGCTGTGGTGTGTGCAAGGCAAGCAGGATGCATTAATCAAACACGCTCCTGCCAGAAGGCATACCTCTGCATCAATGCATGCACCGCTGGACACATGTTGGGTCCAAACTTTTGTGTCGAGCAAAGGAAGTCTAAGCTGACTGGCGGAGACTTCCCTGGACAATTCATTGCACTGAGCTGCCGAAATTCATCAAAATTCTGACGAGCCTGGGAATTTGCCTCCAAGCCTTTCTTGTGCCGTATGCTGCAAATGTTTGGCCTACAAAATCAAGATTTGAGACGGGGCACAGCCTTTCCATGGCTTTGAAGAGCAAACTAGGTCAACACATGTTTCGCATCTGCGAAGCTTCCGATGAGGCTTACAAACGATTTTACACTTGTCCAACTCAAAGCACAATAAGCTGCATTGCTGAAGATTGTGTTTTTTCCTGCACCTTTCCACCGGGCTACCGTGGAAGCAGATACAGTAGGCTGCCTTTGGTGCACCCTCTCTATCATTCAGGACTCACATGAAGCAGACCCCCCTCACATACTGAAACTTGCATTTGTTGTGCCGTAGGGATCGAGCTTGTAGCTTTCCCCAGCACGATAATGATGCATGCTGCCTCAGAGGATGACAGAACAGGGCAGCATCGCAACCCTCATGCCATTGAGAGCCAGGCTTATGCTCTCACTGAGATTCAGCCAGACATCACCCTCGTCATCATGAGCCCAGAGGTCTCCGCCCTGAACGCGCAACAAAGGTAGGGGTCGCGCTTTCGCTTTTAAGCAGCTCTACAGACCTGGTAGTTGCCCAGGCCAATGATGAAGCTCTTGCCCAGGTTGTTCCTGTCCTTCGAGTCATGCTGCAAAAGCTCACGTGGAATTGTTTTGCTACATGTTGGATGGTCAGTAGGGCTGAGCTTCCCTCCCTGCATGCACGGAAAACTGGGGTTATGGCTACATGGGGCCTTGCAGCATAATTCTTGTTTACCTGCACGTGGCTGTCGAAGCAAGAGCAAGCAAGAACATGACGGCTACTCTTCGAATCATGCTGCCTGGATTGAAGTGAACTGGAAGTCCGGATGCGCTGTTTGACAGAACGCTGATAAGAGGCGTGCCTTTGTGTTGCTGCCGGGTTGAAAAGCTCTCTATTCACCAGTGTGAATGAGGGGATACAGGAACTTAAGCTTTTCTTGTCCTCATAGCAAAGACTGAAGAAAACCCGATTTGGAACCATCACGAAGGAAGAGATGTCCCTACTTCACTGCCTCAATCAAGTGGGTGAGCTGGGCGCCGTGCGAGGTTCGGGTTCTTCTTTGATGCATCACCTTTGGCGATTTGCTGCACATCACTGTGCAGGTTTGTGCTTGCAGCGAATCACGCATTCCAAGGGCTTCACTTAAGCCAGTCTTGTGTGCATACGCGTAAAGTCCAAGGACCTTGCAAGGCCGCAGACAGCTCCTTGCTATTGCAAGGCTCAGGTTCAGGCCACACACCATCCCGTATACCGCGTCCACTCCATTTGGAAGAACATTCTTGCGAGTTTTGTTCATTGGAAAATGAACAGCCTTGGCCGCAGACTGGCAATCTGCGGGCAAGTGCAATCCAAGTTCCTTGAAGCCCGACCTCTAAAACCTGCATCACAGTGTCGAAAGAGAAGTCCTTCGACTTCAAGGCGTCTCTTGCCAGTGCCTGTCGCACAAAAGAGCTTGCTGAGACAGTGAACCAAGGAGAGGCGGCCTCAGACTTTTGCCGTTGCCTGCGAGCCTTGTACAGTCAGGGCAAAGTCTGGTTTTGTTCAACCTGAAAATCCTGCCTTCCTTCTGAAGGGCAGCTTGCTGCGATCTCAGTTCACATGGCTGCGAGCTACACAAGCGCAAACATGGAAGGCGGCTTACCTGCAACCAGGCCCGGACCAAGCTTCCTTGGCAACTCGTAAAGAGGAGATGAGAGGAGTATCTTGCCAAGAACGATGGCAGATGGCAGCTGATCTCTCAGCCACGGGCTGGCAGGGCTCAGGTGGCTTGGCTGCTTTAGGCAATTCCTGACTCTTTGCACTAAGCCTCACAAAGCTGCCATCTATTCTCAAAAGGCTCCGGGGCCTCCGGAGCTCCGCCGGGAGGTTTCGCCGGCTTCGCTTCTTTCTGCTGTCTTTCGAGACATGGCAAAGGAGGCGGTTGTCTCGACGGACTTGAGGCACGCAACCATTGCAACCTCGCAGTTTGCGCTGCTTGGCATCTCTGCGTTCATCAGACTTCAGGTCTCCAAGCGTCCGGACAGGCTCAGAAAGGACCTTCGCGGTCTCTCTTTTGCCTGAGACATGCAGAGCCCTTGGGGCATGGTCACTGAAATGGGTAGAAGAAATTTGGCAGCATTGCTGCTACCAATCAACCTTGTTCCCTGTTCTCCAGCCCTGCACCAATGTCACAATCTTGCGGCCCACCTTGACGTCCGGCTCAGGAGCATCCATAATCTATCTTACTGCCATTGCTTCTGGTGTTGAAAACTAAGGAATACGCAGACGCATATGTTTGCACTACTCTTCCCACTACTCTTCCTCATATTTCCTCATGTGCATGCGCACCAGAGTTGAGCCAAACCGCTAGAAAGGCATTCAGTGGCAGGTTCAAGCTTGCGAGGTGCGACAAGCAGCAAGACAAACCATATTACGACTGTGCGTGCTCCGGGAGATGCATTGTGCTGACTTGGCATGTAGGTCATGCAACGTGCAAGAACTGCCAAAGCAAGCTTCCAGCCTCAGCAAGCAGGAGGAGGCCGGCTCGCACCTGGTGCAGGTGCAGCAATGAGATGGGGACTCCAGCAACGTAATGTACACATCAAAAGGACCGTCGCAAACATGACAGCCTGAATTCAACAGTCGAGCTGCCTCCACGGCAATGACTGCCGGCTGCGGGCGCAGATTCCGCAACGCAACGCCTGAACAACTCCATGCATCAAAAGAGCAACAACTATCAGATACTGCAGCAATGAGAGTTTGGACCTCAATCTCTCGTGCCTGCACCCTTGGGAAATCAGACTGCCTTGACACTGTGCCAAGATGCGCACAAGTTCTAGCCAAATCCTCCACACCAGCGTCATCTCGATGCCTCAAGCGTAGACAATTGACTGAAACGCTTACTGTAAGGGACACTCCCGTTTCGATGGCTTATTCTCTGCAACACATCGATGGGGTGCACGCAAAAGCACCAGCCGGTATGACGACAGCTTGAGGTTGTACTCTCTCTAGGATGTTTTCGGTGCATTTTGAATTTGGAATTGGAAGCTTAGGATTACGACTCAACGCATGTTAGACCTATCAGTAAAATTTCGCGTAGGTGTACATCCTGGCGTAGCCACACGTTTTGGCATGTTTAGAGGAACGCCCTATGAAATCGGGCTTGCGGTAGACGACCAGCAGAACCATTTCATAGGGAGACAATACGAAATGGTCTGCAGCGGACTGCAGCACACAACCAGATGAGAGATGCCTCTTCAAACCCCCTTGTATAGTGAGCATTAGCATGCAATGCAGTCATGCACAGACCAGAAACACTGCAGAAGCTCTTGTCGACCACAGTAGCATGGGCACATCTGAAAAGAATTCGGAAGCTCACACTGGAACCTGTGGCTTTTAGGCGCGACTACAGAAAAACATGCAGGCATGTTAAAAAAAATCAAACAGCTGAGATGCCGCAGCCCTGGGCGTCGCTAACTTGAGCTGGCACCGCACAGCATGTTTGCAGGCAAGTTTGCATGTCCTTTTGCATGTGTGACAAAATGGCTGTGTGTCGACACGCGTAATTGTCTATAATTGTCCGTATGTGTCAAACTGAATGCTCGACATGCTTTTCGGCTTGCAAGTGACTGCACAGGGCCCTTGAAACTAATGATCATCGTTCCCATGACTAATGACTCGGCCGAGGTTGCTCGTTTTCCCTTGTAGCCCAGGCATATAGAGCGGTCCCACGGAAAAACCTGAAACGACTCTCCAAGCGACTTGAACATTCCAATTTCGTAGGGCTGTGCAGAGTCCGCGCATTGTAGGATGAGGCGGCAAACGCCAAACGCGTGACACTAAGCAGGCTTTGCAGTGTCCAGCCAGGAGCGGTAGGTGCACATGCTGGGCAATAAATGGTGTCGGAGGAACTCCAAAGGTCCAGCCCACCGGCAGAGCTCTCATGTTTTGATCTTTAAGCCCAGACGGTGATTCGCTCGCTGACTTTTGGCTGTGCCAGCAGCGTTTTCTTCAACACAGCCCTCCAAACCCGCCCTGTCCCATTAAGTTCGGCTTGCTTACAAGGCTGTTTGCCAGTGCACTGCATCCTATCTCCATACCGCAATACCTTGAATTTCATGACTTGCTCTCTCCAGTGCTGGCTTTCTCTGCAATCTCATCCTTTCTGGCATCTCTCTGCAATTTGTTGGCCCCTCATTTTTACTCCACTCTCACGAGCTGAACTTTAGCGACCGTAGTCCTGATGCATTCGGTGGCAGAGGAAAACCTCTGCCGGTGCATTCTCAACTTTGATGGCCCCAGGACTAGCATCTGGGTGGGCAGTCGGAGGTGCAACAGTTGCAGCAACATCAGCAACCAAATGTTGTAGACATTTGCAGACGCAAGCTTCCGTAGAAACCATGGATGACGGCCCCGCTCAGCGTTTGCTCAGCGAGCACGCCTTTTTAGTTCGTGCACCTGTGGCCTGCATAACCAGCTGTGCTCGCTTCTCTACTGGAGGCTCGGGCTTGCCGCGGGGTTGCAGCCCATACAAGTGAGTGAGTACTGCGGGCTGGCAGCTGCTCCGGCTGCGAGAGCTGGGCGTGGAGAGCCCACGCCCACGAGGTTGACCCACTCTATGCCAGCCCCTCCTCCCAGGCTGATTGTAGCAACAGCACATCGGTCTTCCTTAAACGGCATAGTGCTTGAAGTGGACGACCAACAACTCCTCTTCCATGGCTAAGTCAAGGCCCCAGCTAGCATGAGCTGGTTGGAGGTTGTTTGAAATACTATTCTTGCACTCGGTTGTATCAATCAAGTGTCAACCCTCACGTTTCTCTCACAAACTCTGCAGGCTGCCAGCCCGAACCAAGCATTAGTAAGATCCTGGCTGAAGCAGCAAAGCCATGTGTGTCAAACTCCGTTGAAGATACTCTCCCTGCCTCAGAGGCAATGCAAAAATGCTCCGACTCATTGCTGATGCTGCAAATTCTCCGGCTCCCGAGCCTTGCCTGAAACGGGAGTTCTCGAAGGCCTCCAGAAGCACGGCCACATCAGGCAATTGGAACTGCGGCAACCTGTCCAGGGCACACTCCCTCCACGTTTTTCAGGCAAGAATAGAACTCGGGTAGCTGATAATGCCTGCGGTGCAGTCTGCCAAGATAAGTTGTCAACAGGTTCTGATCAAACCAGTCTGCACCTTGGATGGCTTGAAGCTTTCTTTGTGTTTCGCTATTGGCCATCGCATACCGGGCAGCTCGACAAGTTGCACCGGCACCAATGATATGAGAAAGATCATCCGCTGAGGCAGTCGCGGGCAAACGCGCGAAAGATGTAGCAGAGGTCGGGCTGCAGAGAGTTACTGGTAACAGAACACAGAACCGGCACAAACTTCTGTGGATCCCCGCAACATCCTAGGAACAACCATGTCCATATGAACAACTGACAGCGCATGCACAAGTTGCAGAATCCTTGCAGAAGCCGAAACCTCAACCTTGTTGGAATTGAGCTGTTTGGCTTGTTCGCGTCTAGCTCTTTTCAGCATCGTCCGAGGCCACAACTTCAGAATCCTTACGCTTACCACTTTCAGAAGGAAAGCCCAGAACATTACAGAACGTGGTCAAGTGGCCTCTGAGTCTTTTTCCATTGCGGCATTTTATGTTTTAGCCATCCGACAGCTCCTGGGGCAGCTCGTCAGCTCCCAAATCAGTTTGGAGGAGCCAGCAATCACCCGGCCGTTCCAATGATGTAAAAATGCAGAACCTGCTGGCGCGAACGTCCTCAACTACTGAAGTGACAAACCTAAAGCCTGCCGGGCGAGCCACTCTTGGATTCGATGTAGGGAAATAGAAATGCGGCAGTGGCTAAGGGAGCTACAGTCGATATGCAATGCGATGCAATACGTCTCGCTCGAAAGGACATGGAAACACTAATGCAAAAATGGACCCACATGCATCTGGCTTGGCTGGAAGGCCGCGAGCCACTGAGGTCACAGTAGATTTGTCCATGAAAGTTCCAAGAACTAAATGCTCCGCTGCTTTCCGCCTCCTGGGTGCGAGTCGACAACTGCTGCGCACGCCATGAGAACCTGGTGACAAGCTGGCCCTGATGAAATCACCATCCATCCTAATTAGTTAGTCTTCCGGAGAGGAGATGCGTTCTCAAATGTTCAGTCGATTCAGCCGTAAGCATCAGACTTCAGCCAGATTTCTGGATCCCACACCTTCTCCTGCTGGATTAGCAAACTCAGCGCAACTTCGCACGACACCTACCAAGTAAAGAGCTTCAAACACGACTAAGCCAACTAAGCTGTCCTGAACACACTTGTCTGCCAGCACTGCCAGCGTAACCTTTCAAAGGCGCATACATGAACTTTTGATCAGGAATTGGATACGCCGGTGAATAACAAACACTACACTGCTGCATCTGCAGAGCATCTGAAGCATAGAAGCCCCGCACACAAGGCCAATGCAAGTTGTTCAAGCACTCACTTGCACATGACGGGAGGGAAACACCGTGTCCGTAACCGAAACTGTGGCAGCTTGGCTTCCCACCGCGTCCATCTGCTCCGTGTAGAGGCTGCCACCCCTCAGGCCGGCCTGCACGGCTTCACAAAGAGTGCTTTTGAGCGCTCTTGAAAAGTGTGCTCTCCTTGGTGACATCCGGAAAGCCAAAGAAAGTTGCTGGGGCAACCCGTCTCTCTCGCCACCACTCCTGGCAAAGAGGGCAAGGGAAGAGTGGTTTCTAACACCCAAAGCTGGCCATTAGCAGTGGCATGCAGTGGCCAGCCTTTTGCGGCTGCACTCGAGACAGATCAAACCTGCAAAGCTCTGCAAAGCTCTGCAAAGCTCTGCAAAGCTCTGCAAAGCAAAGCTGTTTTCTTGCGCTTTACCCGGCTTACCCGGCTCACAGCTTTGCATGTGCCGTAGGGCTATTGAGGATAGGCACCGAGCCTGGAGGAAACAGGAACATGGGTCCGACAGCTTGATGGTTCGTAGGCATTTGAGAATGTTCAGTGCTCCCCGGGAGGCTTCAGCAGTAGCATGTGTAAACCACTTGAACAGACGAGCAACCATTGGTCCATGATCTCTGCACAATATCTCCCCCTTCCCCAACATCGCATGAACTTGCCCACTTATAACCCTCCGACAAACAAACGAAAATTCTCTCATCTCCAACAATGATCATAGAAATGTCCGCGAAAGGATAAGAACTCTTTGTGCACTGACCAGTCGTAGATCTCCCAGCTGAAAAACAATGTAATTGAAACCAACCTGTATTCGTGCAGTCGGAGGGGCTTGTCGGTCAGTGGGCGAGGCGTTCGTATGCGGTAGTGCTGCTTGGACCAGGTGCGCCTGTCCAAGCCCTCAAGCTTCTGTAGCCAACGCAATTAACAAGACCATGCATCCCTTAGCCCTTTGTAGGAGCTGAATTGACAATGACATGGGACTCCAGCACAGATGCACTAGTCACGATCTTCCTGCAGACAGCACCTCGATGGTGGCGTGTACCACCGATGTTGTAGCACATGAACGTGCTGCTGGCTGCGGCGGCTTTGAAGTTCTCGAAATGCCATGGCTTTCATTCCATCAGTACTGATGGCAAAGACTACAATGATAAAAAGGATCTGAATGAAACTTGCTGCCAGTGAGCAGCAGGTAAAGAGCATTAAATGGTAAGGTGTCCTCAAATGGGCCTACCTTGAAACCAGAAGCACAAAGACAGGTGGACCTCTACCTTGCTGACAGCCCTGGGAGAATAGTGATACCAAAACCGAGCTTCCATGCACACTGAACTGTCCGAAGACCAGTTTTCCAAGCCGCTTTCTGATCTGTTTGGCAGCTGAAGAAGCAGGCTTTTGTCCAAAGCAGCAAGATGCCCGAAAACCTCTGGCTGATCACAGAGGACTCTGACTGTCATGAATGAGCTAGATTCAGCTAGATGGAAATGGACCAATCATGTGCTCTCCACTGGCATGGTTCGGAACATCTTATTGCACCCTCTTACAGACCAAGGTGAAACGATGCTACGTCGAGCAAGGAAGCTATCCAAATAGCGTGCAACAGGTTGGGCTGTTTCGGCTATCTATCGAGAATGTTCAGGTGACAGCTAACTGCTGATTAGATGCTGTCTACGCAGCGTACGAGAGCTTCCTCGCTCAAATAGGCATACACTGGAAGGCAGTTCCTGCCACGTTAATGCTGCGCCATTGCAACCAAAGCAATATGAAATACCTGTGAGTATTGCAACAACTTGTACACGATCATTGGCGCCTGCTGTGTCTACATACTGTCGGAGGACAGATCCTTGTCCCTAGAGAACTGGTAAGATCTGACGCCAACAGAGCATGATCAGCAGTTGATCGGGCCAGGCACGCCTTTGCGGCCTGGATTGACAAGTCGTTCATGCGAACATTCCCCGGGACACCAGGATGGTCACCTTCCTGACAATCGTTCAATGCTGAATCAAGTTCCAGTACGGACGCGTGCGGTCAGATGAACTCTCACCGGCAGACCTGCCCTTGGAGACTTCTTCCAGAAGCTGGTCAGCACCTTGATTCTAAACATTCACTGGATGTCCTGTTTGCCACAGTCATTTCAGCGGCAGGCTGCCACGCTTGCCGTTCACAGCTACCACCGCATCGCCACCCTTTACCTGCATCCAAAGCTGAGCACACCACGGAAAAGAGGAAAGAAGGCTGAACCCTCCACCCTGGGCCTGCATTTCTGGTGCTTGGTTCTTGTTCCACTCATTGACTAAGCCATCCTTCACCTTCCAGACCTGCCACATGTGGTTTAAGTTGTGGATACGGCATCTTCCACCAAGTCATGCAAGTGAAGGAAACTGACGCGAGCATGACAGGAAACAGCTTCAACACAGGCTCGCGAAAGCACACTGGCAGGCGCCTTGAGGACCTTGCCACCTACAACGCTGATGTCCAAGCCTCGGATAATGGCACACGCTGCCAGTCTGTTCCCTTATGTCATCCGGGCCTGAAAACTTTCTGAGGAAAGCACCAATTCTCTGATCTTCCGGGCTCTTCTCGATTACAACCTGCATCTGGAGAGGTACACAAAGTGTCTCAGCAAGAGATTTCAACTACAGGTTCTCGAGCAGAACCCCACAGGCCTCAAACTCTCTATCATTGCGCGGGCTGGCCTCAAGAGGCTGATCACACCGCATAGCTGTTGCAAAGCAAGTGAGCAGTGAGCAGGCCCTTCCTGGCTCTAAAGATGACGCCTCCATGCAAACAGAGACGAACTGGTGCAAACAATAATGTCTGGTCATCAGGCTCCAGCTGCAGGCTCTCCAAACTTGGCCTGACCAAGTCTGGTGCAGCAAGAATGCTCAGAGACTCGGGCTTGAAGTCACGTCATAAGATTTTCATCAGTTGTCTATACGGCTCCATAACAGTTAATCTTGCTGTGTCCGCAACTAACTGACGATTAAGGCATCCGCCAAGAAACAGCTGTTCTGCTCTCCCGCCTCATCTGGTACAGCGACCTTGGGCTTGTCACTCAGCCGATCAATGGCAGAATCAACGGCCTGCACACAGAGTCGAATGGCACAAGGCAAGTTTCACAGCTTCTCTAACCCAAATAATGCGTCGCAGCCGACTCAGGTCCCAGAAGCACATTCAAACATAGCTGCGGATCGCACAGAGCATTGGAAGACATTACCGACATGATTGCGGCACGTGTCAGCATGCAGATGCGACTCCCGTGCGTAGCTTAGTCCCCATCACCCCACCGATGCGAACCTCAACAGGCTGACCCTGGTCATCAGTGCAGCATCCACACCTACAGACTCCAAAGTTAGCTATGAAACTCAAAGCAGATCGCTGAGGAGCATGCAGAAGTGCCATGGCCTCAGCCTGTGAGCAGCTCAAAGACACCAGACTCCACTTTAGACAGCGGATGCAGGGGCCTGCCGAACTGAAGTTACACCAATCACCGCTTGAGCAGAGTGGCTTGAATCGCAAACACGGTGCAGGCGGACACCCTCATGGCCAACAGATGCATAATCTATGGGTGTAAGCTGCAAGCAGCAAACGCAAGACCAGAGGAGGCTTCTTGTAGCTCATTGATGAGCCACGTCGCGAATGCCATTGTATGCCACTGTGAAACAATGTCCAGAAGCATTGCCACAGAAGATGACAGAGATGATCACAGAAGCGTGATGGCACAAGAGTTTGGCGTTGACCGGGACTACTGTGGCAGGACCTTCAGAGCGCTCGCATACTGCTTTGCACATAGTTGTCCGAAAATGCGTATCCGGCACGCAAGCCGAATCATGTGAAACGCAGCATGGACTAAGACGACAGTGAAACATTTCCGTTGGCGATTTGTAGCAGAACCAGTCTGCGCATGCCCGTGGAGAAACCATGTCTCAAATCCTTCCAGCTAGCAAACCATGCCTGGCACCCTTGCATAGATAAAACATACTCACTCGTTCAGGACAAGGTCTCGCACGCAGCAAAACATTATCGATACACGAGCCACACGAGCCACAAGACTTGCAACTCAGGGAACTGAGCCAAGACGCTTTCCTCAAGTGTCCCACTTTCAGCATCAGGCAACTTTTATGCAAGGCATTGCAAGGCAATAGTCTAATTGAGTAGTCTATGCAGTTCCACTTGGAAGTTGTAATGGCTTTGGTCCACTGGCGGTTTTGGCCAGTGTGCACAGGACAGGTGCCTGCGTGAAACGAAATTCAACAAAGATCGATAGCCTCTATTTGTCAGATTTCCAGTTTCTTGCCGTGTCCTACGACCTACAAGTACAAACAATACTTGAATTTAGAGCTCACGGATCCCGAATGGGCAAAAAACATCAGGCAAGAAAACCACAATGTACAACCTGCGCTGTCACGTCACAGGCTTCTTGCAGATGAACCACCAACTGGAACCTGACAGGGGAGCAGCGGAGTCAAAGCACATTCCGAAAAACACGGCAGGTCATGCAGAAAGTGTTGCCGGTACCACAGCTGCTAGGGCACAAACTGTCAACGGCGGCAGAGTTGCACCTACCAGGAAGGATTTGCTGTGGACATCCATGCGCAGAACCCGATGCAGCCAAGCCAAGACCCACCTCGACCAGCTGATTCCTGGCCCATTGCAGCAGCCTGCAATAAAGTCTAGTCCAGGGTCTTGCTGAAGAAGCCGCTGGCTTCAATCGCAGAAATTTCGCTGCACACGAATTCTACATCCAGTAAAGATTTGCTGGCTCAATAACACAGCAGCATGCAGTGGGAAATCTGAGTCTTGCCGTCAAAAGACAACGCAAAGAGAGCACAGAGCCACAGCAGCAGCAGCAGCAGCAGCAGCAGTAGATGTAGTAGCACTTCATACTGCATCCCTTCCGCGATACGTGAACTTGGGGCGGCAAAGCTAGCAAGCCGTCGAGGCACCTTCATTCCATGTTCTGGTTCCAAACTTGAAGTTTCCTGGTCAGTTGCAGCACTCATTTCCTGAGCTTCTGAAAACGGCCATTACAACCAATGCAGGCTCGACGAACTCACGTGCTTACTAACTTACCCAAACCTCTTCCTCTGGAGCCATGCGCTCATCCCATTGCCATTGTGGATGCTCCTCGTCCTAACAGCAGCGTCACTAAACATCTCAAGACTGGAGACGTCAAATCGGTGCTGTTGCCATACTGATCCTCGTCCAAATCCTCGTCCACATCATCGTAATCCTCATCATCGCCCTCCTCCCACTGGTTGAGGTTCGGTGGTGCCGACCTGAGTCCAAGCTTTCGCGGTGAGAGCATGGGCGACTTGAAATTCGGCACCAACCTCTGGTGACACCTTGAAGCCCAAACCAACACGTGGCAGGTCCACGCACGGGCAGCGAGGACATTCGGCTCGAAAGGCCAAGAGTCCACGAGGTAGGGATTGCAATGTGAAGTCCCAACATCCCACCTGGGTTCCAACGTCTTTGTGCGCACTGCCGGCACCAATTTTTAATGCTCGGCAGCATGCACTGGCTCATCTCTGGCATCCTCGTCATCCAGGAAGACGGGCGGCGGCGCGAGGAAAATTTCGCCTTGAAGCAAACTCTGGAATTGAAAGAAGGGCTTTGCAATGCTAGTAAAACTTGAGTCGGCAACCTGCGGGATGCCTCCTGAAGTCCGGTCAAACGCTTTCCAAAAGCAAATCTGCGAACTGCAGAACAATACTTTGGCAAGACTGTCCATTCACTGTTCCATCCTGATATAGTTTCAGTCTTCAGGGTTGCAAGCCCCGCATCACTCCAACAAATTCCAGTGTATCTGAAATGCGAGCTGCTGCGTCCATGATCAAGAACAACTATCAGGGCCTCAAGATTTGCATCCCTTCCTGCGAAAGTCTCTCGCCTCAAGACATGGCACAGCCATTCCAGAGGGCAGTACAAACGCACTGACTTGCAATGTCTTGCGCTAGTCGCAACAAGGCAGCTGAGGCAGGTGGCTTTGCTGCAAGTAGGCACGTTGGCGTTTCGCTATACAGGCCCACTGTTGCTCCTCTGGTGAGTGCTTACACGATGCTCCCTGCGCAGAGCACATTTAAAACAACACCACTCCTGATGGCGAGCCTCGGCTAGCTTGCTGGACAGTTCCTTCACCTGGGCAAAACTGGAGCTGCACCTAATCTTTTCAACGTCCTGCTCTGGCACCCCAGCATGCCAGCTGGCAGTCTACATCAGAAGCAAGTCAGCGGACACATGCTCTTTTTTTCAGGCCAGATCAGCCATCAAACTACATGACGTGTACCAAGTAGGTGGCCAGAAGCCTAACTTTCAACAAAGAAGCCAAGTTATTCCACTTGAGTCGGGTCTCACAGTGACATTAAGCCTCCAGCTGCCACATATTTACAACGAAGCACCTACCCCCAGGTTGTCTTAGGACTTGTGCCGAGTGTGAACAAATTCGGTATCTCAAGTAGCAGCATGCACCACGACTTGCCCACGACTTGCCCACGACTTGCCCACGATCTGACATCCTTTGCAGCAAGGATCCTGGATATTGACTAGATACGAGGCTTGTCGAACTGTCACGGAACCATCGTAAAGAAAGACTTGATGCTGCTCGTCGCACGGCTTGCATCTTCAACTTTTGCATCATATTACTGTCGAATCTTGGGAGCTGTCTGCAAGAGATGGCCCAAAAACAGATTGCTGAACTCCATGAGGTCAACTTACAAGCGGTTCTCAGTTCAGGAAACATTTTGCCAAGGTCTGGGATTGTGCAGCTTGCACAGCGTTGAGACAGCCATGGCTGAGAGCTAGTGGAGGATGTAGGGAACAGCGCCAGCTAGCTCAAGAGAGTGGAATTCCCTGGAACAGCTAACAATGCGCTGCATGTTGAACACTACCTTGAGCCCAGATTTCATCATCTTTGAGCTGGTTGAATTCCAGCAGCCTGACCTACACTTCCAGTATACAAATCTCGGCGCAGCGTTGCAAATGCGTCATTTCTGGCCTGATTCTGAAGCCTTGAGATTGCCTCTGCCTGGCGGAGCAAAACATATCAACCGTCGCTCAAAACGAGTTGCACAAGGATAGCGGTGGAATTTTTATCTAGCATGCGGTTATTGCGGGTTTCACGCTGTTGGGTGCTGAAATATCACGACTTGCACTCGGCACTGGGTCCTGCCTGCTCAAGCGGGGCACGATTGGTATCGCTGAGGCATGCGTTTAGCCTGCACTAAATCGCCAAAAAAGAAACTGGTCCAATTTGTTCCTCTGTGACATGTGAGGGACCTGGCCGTTGCCTGAGCTTCCAGGGTCGAGCAGGTAATGAGGGTTGACTAGGCTTGAAGGAATGAAAGCTTCTCAGAGTCATACGGCACGGGCTTCTGCTGTCTGCTGCCAGAGCCTTTGTGAAGAAAACTCACAAGCCACAGGTTACTGAACTCGAAGGAGCAGGCTGTTGTCGCGTGTCCCGCAGCTGGCGATGAAGCTCTGTAGTCTGAGCCTAAGATACGTGCAGCGTGCACAGATACCTTTCAAAATCCTGCCCACAACCGTCCAAGATAGTGGCATCCCGTTTAGAAAGAATCCTCTGCAAAGTCCCAACGGAGTTACGCTGCGACTCGTCCTGGCAAGCAGACTTTTTCCTAGCTGCGTTCAACAGCTCCAACGTCAGTTGCACACCTCGTCTACAAATGCGAGACACTTCTCTGGAGGATCTGGTACTGCACATTGCCTCACAAAACAAACAGCAGACAAGGTTTGCAAGAGAAGCCCTCAGAGGCGACAGGAATTGGCTTGGATGATAGGTTGTTGAAGCTATTTTGAAGCTACACGCTTTGACGCATGCCTGTTTATTCACAGACCCTCTGCAAGTCTGCTTCGCAAGCATTGTAGTGCAATGCTCCTAAAATATCTTCGAGGCCTCTCCGTCGGTCCCAACCTCACACAAGAAATCACAACCAGAGCTGTTAGTTCCTGACACAGCTGTAGAGTAAATTATTGTTTTTCACAGAAACGTGCTGCAAGTTGCTAGTAGAATTTCGTCTTACTGCTTCTGGCACACGAGCGAGAAACCAACAACACACCATTCTGCCTGACATTGGGAAGATCTGGGGCTCTGGCAGCTTTGGCGGGCCAGGCACCTCATGTAGCCATATGTAACCCTGGATGCGAACCCATGCGGTAACTGCGGTGCTTTTTTCCCATGGGCCTCGTCCTTGAGCGGCTCAAGATTTGCAGGAGGTACGGGCGGCGGAAGCGGTTCCTGCTGTGATCTCAGAGCATCAAGAGTGGGGCCTGGCTGCTAAGCTCAGGTAGACTCGAAGATGAGACTCCATACCTACATTATGTTTTCGGAGCTGATTGTCAAACCAACATGCGGCCTTCCCAGGCTTGTCCGGTGGAGCGACAGCTCCAGGCAGCTCCTGAGCACCAAAGCAAAGCAAATGCTGATGCCAACGTTGATGGCACGTCACGGAGACCTCGGCTTCGCGGTCAGTGCTGCCGCTCCGATTTGAAGAGCTTGGAGTACGCCTTGCCATACAGGCTACAGGCACAGCTCACGTAGTGCTTTGTCTTACTGAGCTCAGCACGTGTCAACAGAACCTTTTGAAGATAACTTTGGATGTCCATGTTCAGGATCCTGGCACGCAACTTCAAATTCGAGCGCGAATTGACTGCCAAAACTACCATCCCTCCTCCGAGGACGCAGGTGCAGCAGACTCACGCAACGTTGCAGCCGCCTCAAGATAGAAGTGGGGTCTGCTTTGCACGTGATTGTTTTTCCACTCTGAAGCTACCTTGGCTGACACCTTGAACATGTTATCGAGACGGTCTTCCAGGTCCTTCCAGATGCGGTCTATCAGATTTTTGCATTGAAAACTTGTAAAGGCTCCTTCAGGGACACGCCTTTGCGCACTTCTGCTTCAAGAGCTGTCCTGCACAACGTATTCACACTTTGTCTTGCCTGACAGCATCAGCCAAGGCACGGATGCTGCTCAGGCAGGAGCCGGAGTTTCTCGCAAAGGCGGGCAACATCTGGACTCAGCACATCGCTGGCTGCCTTGGCAAAAGGAGTTTGCTACTGAGACCGCAAGATGGACGAGCAAGGCAGCCCAGCAAAATAAGCCCATGACGGGATCAGGCACGCCCTTCTCTAGATCTTTGGCAACATCAATGCCACCTTCCAAGACAGTCATGGTATAACTGCCGATGCAAAGAGCACCCAGAAAGCAGATGGCTGCTTAATTTGGAATACAGCCTCAAACCCCAACAGGCCAACGGCTTCTTTCCACACACTGGAAATGGAGCCTCCGGATTTGCAATGGTGCACTGCGTTGCGCTTCCGAAGCCTTTGCCTTGGTAGTTCACACAGCTCAGCTGCAGCAAAACCAACCAGAATGTTTCTTGCCTCCTTCATTGCCTCAAGCTACAGTACCCTCGCCACCCTAGACCCTGTGAATCTTCTGCTACCCTGCCCTACCGCTATCACCACCATGACCACCATGACCACCACCACCACCACCACCACCACCACCATCACCACCACCACCGCCATCATCATCACCATCACCGTACGTACCACCACCAGCACCACCACCGCCACCGCCGCCGCTGCAGATGACATGGCTGCAGCGGCGACAACAACCCCGGGAAAATCTTGGGCACCCTGAGAAGTTGAGCGAACAACTCAGAATTGCGGACATGCACTCTCGAGCGAGGGTGTCTTTGGCTATTTACCCGCGAACAGGAAATGTTGGCACAGGAATTCTGAGACGTGATGGAGCGAGTGGCCGTGTTGATCCCTTACTGCCCTGCATTGCCAACCTTGACGGTACATGTTGTGAAGCAACTTTGGTGCCGAAAATGCTTTGGTCCACTATGTTCGAAGAGCAACATGCTCAAAGTATCATCAATTTTGCATGCATCTTTTGGAAAGCATGGTACAGTCGTACCTCTGAACTTTGCTATCATTCCTCGCCATTGCCAGTCTGGAGGCACCCAAGCATGGATCTGGCATCCGATTGAGTCACGGAACTTACACGACTGGGACAGTACATGGTAGGCATGCTCTGCGCCGCCTCCATTAATTACTAGGCCGATACCTTTGGCGGCGCTTGGCAAAGCAAATCGCAAAGGACTGTCCACGAGAGAGCTCATCGCAATTTGTTTTGACAACAACTTCCTCAGCTCATTACTTGAAGTTGATTTGGTGTCTCATTTGCATTCTGTAGATCTTGCTGATTTCAACTCCCCATCTATATCGTCTCCAAGTTTGATCCGGAGCTCCACTCACATTGGCAGGAGCGCAGCGCGAAC